AAAAGCCACCTTGGTCTAAGTGTTTCAAGTATTTGAGCTAGCAGATGTGTGGACAGTGTGGTGCACACCTCATAGAGGTTGAATATGTTTTGGCTGTCTTGAAAACATGAAACCGGAAATCCCCTCAATGGCTGGGAAGTCCACCGTGCTGTCGTTGTCATCGTAGCTCAAAAACATGCTGCACCTGTTAGCTTGAGAACTGACAAGGCGATCTGGGTTAACCTCGTTGCATGATTTTGCAAAGAAAAGTCATGTTTACTCCCATGTCATGTGTAAATGCATACATTGGAAACCTTAGTAGCATGTTTAAAATAGTAAAAATGTGAATAGCCAAATACAAAGAGATGTATGACAGTCAATGGATTTAAGGTACATTGGCTAAATAAGGAGCAGCTGCCACTCAGATGTCACTGTTGTCAAAGATTCCAGTCATCTTGAAATCTCTGCGCTCAGTGCATTATTCTGTCAAATTATTTGAGACATTTTATTATTGTTATTTTCATGATTTTTTTTCTTCATATTAATTTACAGGAGGAGCTCCTGTGGCCTCTGCCTTTTGGGCCCCATGCTGTTGGAGATTTGAACCCTGTTGAACACCCACACCCTGGTCTGTCTACCTCTCCTCTCAGCGCAACAGTTTCCACTTCACTGGTTTTAGAAATTAGAACTCCACCTAATGCTAAAAAGAGAAACAACCGTAATTTAGGCAATTCAATGCTTGATTTCCATAGGCGACTTGGGCTATTTCAGAAGCACAGTTAGAGTATATACCTATTTTCACTCTAATTTAGGAATGTAGAACGCAGTAGCGGTGCGTGGGTAAAATCACTGGGGCAGCCAATCCAGATGTATATATTTTTTTTACAACCTATGTGTTGTGATAATTGCGTTGTTTGCTCTATAACCTGTTAGTTCATATGCCTTGACACCATGATATATAGGCCTAAGGCCGATGTAATGAATACTCAGGGAGAAAAAGGTGTAGATTCACGCGCAGAGCGCGGCAGGTGTTTATTACGCCTTCGCAGAAGGCAGGAATTGTGGTCACAGGCAGGCAATGGTCATACACAGGTAGGCAAACAGGCAGGTGAAACAAAACTATGACTGAAGGCTAAAACTGGTTCTCACAAACAAGCTAGGAAAAGGCTTAATAGAGACAAAACGAACAAGGCACAAACAGAATGAACTAAATAAGGAGCTGATGAGACCAAGTGAGTAACTAACACAGGTGAAATCAATGAACAAAAATGAAAGACAGGGCTACGTTCAAGAACACAAAGAAACAGGGCTACGTTCAAGAACACAAGGTGAACTATTCTGTAAAATAAATACAGAACCTTACAGCCGAGACAATAAGAAGACACAGTGGCAGAATAAATTCAATCATACATTTGTTTCATTACAAAACTGGAGAGAAACATCTGTCCGGTGAAGTCCACAAAACATATTGCATGTAACAAACAGTTACATGACCTACAGCATGGTCAAGCAAGGTAATGTTTCCGACATTTTCGGACTACTAAACAGCTATTGATTTAGAACCACGGAGAGTTACTGCAAGTCGCAAAGAAAACAGGAGCTGCCTCCACTATTCCTGCACCATTTCAACTTTAACATTTCAACATCATCTAATCATCTATGCTTAGTTTAATACAGTGATAATTAAAAGCTAACAAAACAAATTTAGTCCAATCAACGTAAGCTAAATATGATGTGGCTGTCCATGGCACTGATTTCTGTGTGTTGACTCACCCTACTTGTAAAGAAACGCCAATGCCATCCTCCTCTTTCATGTTGCCTAAACGGTGTATGACACTATTGTACAGCACACGCTTTTAGTTTTTGTTGTCCTAGGCTACCTGGCTAAAATACTTGCTCACTAGCCTAACTTCCTTTCATGGGCAATGATACGCCAGGCCAGCTAGTTAACATTAGCATACATCCTATGTTGAACTTCCATCCTCTCAGGCCAGGGGCACAATATATGAATTTATGGTTAGATTAGAATTGCCGTTTATAATCATTGGCCAGTACGGAGAATGAAGTAAATCCATAAGTCCAAATCCCTATCTCCAAAGGGACGATTTTAGCTAGCTAGCTAGCAACCGGAGGACAACAACGCAACGAGATGCAACAATTCAAGTTTTTTTCTGTCAATAATGACGTTTGGCTTGTGATGTAATTGGTCTGAAGCCAAATCCAAGCTGGTTTCCCTTGACACTTTTTGGTGCGCCAGGACCATTCATAGTTGAACTCGCTCCGTTCAGCTCAACGCTGATTGGCTATTATTATTATATTTTTTATTATCAAGGGAGGCCAAATGCTCGCTGGCTTCCCTTGCATTCAATGCTACGGGAGGTAACAATGTCATGCTCTTTCTGACCAGACAGCATCAGATAGACAGGCGACACATACTGAGACAAAGGAACGCTGTTTCGTTCGCTCGGATGCTTTGACCGTTCGCTCGGATGCTTTAATGAGATACATTCAGCCTCTTGTAATTGAAGGAAATGTTTTCTTGGTCAATTTTTTGGGGAAACCTGGCTTCCCTTGGCATCCATGAATACACGCCACTGGTAGAACGAGTTTTACCCCTTAGGTGTTGCTGGAGAATGAATGGCCTAAATCAGGGGTGTCAAACATGCATATATACAGTATATACAGTTGCGGCCAAACATATTGGCACCCTTGCACTTTTCTTAGATAATTCCCTATTTCTCTTAAAATAAGTTGAAATTGAAAACAACTTTTGGTCTCCACACCTTGTCATTGGATTTTCAACATTGCAGAACCAATTTTATTTTTGTAAATGTACATTTAGAATTTTTATCTAGAAAATAAAGACAAATGGCATGGACAAAAGAATTGGCACCCCGAAGCTAGCATTTGGTTGCACAGCCTTCAGCACTCTTCAGCAGCACACTGTTCTAATTCTTCAATGTTTGAGGGGTGCCCTCCACCAACTGCTGTTTTTAGATCTCGCCATAGGTTTTGGATGTGATTCAGATCTGGACTCTTTGCTGGCCACTCCAGAACAGTCCCACGTTTCTTCTTGAACCATTCCTGGGTGCTTTTTGATTTGTGTTTAGGGTTGTTGTCCTGCTGGAAGACCCACAACCTTCAATGGAGGCTAAGTTTTTGGACACTGGATTGAACATTGGACTCCAAAACACTCGATTTCATGATGCCTTCCAGACATGTAAGGCCCCTAGTACCAGAGGCAGCAAAGCAACCCCACAACATTATCAAACCTCACCCATATTTGATTGTAGGTGTGGTGTTCTTTTCATTGAATGCTTCATTTGGTCTTCTGTAAACACAGCCCTGATCTGTATTGCCAAAGATCTCTAATTTTGTTTAATTGGTCCACATAACATTTTCCCCAGGATGTAGGCTTGTTTAGGTGGGTTTTTGTGATGTTAAATCAGGCTTTCTTGTGTCTCCTTCAGCAGTGGGTTCTTCCTATGTTTACCAACGACCGAATTAAGCATTCAAATAAAGAACACCCTCCCTGCAATCAAACATTGGGGAGGTTTGATAATGCTGTGGGGTTGCTTTGCTGCCTCTGGTACTGGGGGCCTTCAAAGTGTGCAAGACATTGTGAAATCACCAGATTATCAAGGTGTTTTGGAGTGCAATGTTCAACCCAGCGTGTCTGTTGAAGGTTGTGGGTCTTCCAGCAGGACAACAACCCGGAACAAACATCAAAAACACCCTTAACTTAACAAAAATAAAGTTGGTTCTGCAATGTTGAAAATCCAATGGCAAGGTGCGGAGACCAGCATTTTTTTTTCCAATTTCAACTTATTTTAGAAGAAATGGGGAATGATTTAAGAAAATTGCAAGGGTACCAATATATATATTTAAGAATTATTTTGAAATCACTAAAACCAAATCGAAACTATGTAGAAATGATAATGGACATATATTTATAGTCTTTTCACTCTTGCATTTATAGTCTTCAACTTGCTAACAGTCATTGAAACGAAAGCTAGACAGTCAGTTTTTGCTAATGTTGACAGCAAGGAAATATAATACATTTTAAGTGCGACACTCCAGACCTTGGTGAAGACCGAATATGCCTGCAGGGAAACATTGTTGGACACCCCTGGCCTAAATTGTCTTTGTTATTCAAATGTACTCAAAATAATCAGTGTCCGAACACAAATACAGTATTAGTTATTTAATATTCTCACATTCAATTAAATGTTTTTGATAAAATACAAAATACAAAAAGCAACAGTAATTTCATTACCTTTTCAAGCGATTTAATCTCATTCTGAGATACTTATTTTTGATTTAATAAGATGCATGGTTTGGCATAATGGATAATATATAGCTTTGAGAACTAACCATTTTAAATATATAGTATACAAACATACAAATATGTTCATGTGAATAAATAAAGAAATATTAATACATCAATTATAAACTGCATGGACATCTTTTTTAAGCTAGGTGGCACCAAAGCAGCTTTCTTGTGGCAATGAAATAATTATTTAGCTTGAGTAGGATAACACCATTTCATAAATAAATATTAAATAAATATTATTATTAAATATACTTATTACTTAATCAATATGATCATTTCTCTGTATGTATTTCTTACTTTTGTTTCTCATTTGAGTGGCAGTCCACGGGTACATGTGATATGAAATTAATATATGATTTGATATGAATATTGTACCTGTAACCCCACCAACAAAATAATGACAAAACAAATAAAATCTTGGTCACAAAAATAAAATAACAAAATGAATAGAATGGTAGGATAGCCGTAATGGCCATAGCCATGTCTCTGATGTGTTCACAGAGTAGTGTCTTCTACACATTCCCATGTCTTTTTCCACGGTTTGTTCCAGTCATTTCTTCACACCAGTCTATTCATAGCCTGAAAATCATATTTTTGTAGTTAGCACACTGCACACTACAACCATTTACTCTCATTGAAGTGTAGATATTGTTGTTAAAAGTCTGACTTATTCATAATAACCTGTTACCTTTTGAAGGAGAGATTCCAACTGTTGTAAAAATTTCCTGCTGTCCTTCATTGGATAGGAATTACATATTTGGCAGACTGTTTTCTGAGGGAATAAAGGAACACCGAAAATGTTAACTTAGTTGGCCCACACAATTTAACTTTTAAAAGTTAAAATACAAATTTGAAGTTACTCTTAGATTTGGACTGAACATAGGCCTAGTAAAGTAACTACTACCCCTAATATACTTTCCACATTCCCTCACAGAATTCTTATGTGATTACGTTCAATAATAATAATGCTAATAATGTAATTTGGAAAATAACGACAAGGCTCACCTCTCTCTCCTTCTGACTGCAGGAGTCCACACTTTCCAACTAAAAACAAAAAACAATGCAACATGTTCATATTTTACCACAATCTTGCTATGTACATTTTTATATAGATGTACACTGAGTGTTCAAAACATTAAGAACACCGGCTCTTTACATGACATAGACAGGTGAATCCAGGTGAAAGCTATGATCCCTTATTGATGTCACTGGTTAAAATCCACTTCAGTCAGTGTAGATGAAGGGAGGAAATAAGTTAAATAAGGATTTTTAAGCCTTGAGAAAAGTTTGACATGGATTATGTATGTGTGCCATTCAGAGGGTGAATGGGCAAGACAAGATTTAAGTGCCTTTGAACAGGGTATGGTAGTACGTGCCAGGTGCACCGGTTTGTGTCAAGAACTGCAACGCTGCTGGGTTTTTCACGCTCAACAGTTTCCCATGTGTATCAAGAATGGTCCAGCACCCAAAGGACATCCAGCCAACTTCACACAACTGTGGGAAGCATTGGAGTCAACATGGGCCAGCATCCCTGTAGAATGCTTTCGACACCTTGTAGAGTCCATGCCCGCATGAATTGCGAATTGAAGCTGTTCTGAGGGAAAAATGATATTAGGAAGGTGTTCTTAATGTTTTGTCAACTAAGTGAACATTATTCTTGTTTTCTGAAGTGACTCACAATCAGTGGACTCCTGAGGTTTCTGAAAACTTTCTGCTGAAATTTCTTTTCTCTGGCCGTGAGATTTAGTACCATCGTCCGAAAGCACTCCAAGGCAGATACGGCACAGCACTCCTGTAAAAAGCAAAATACACTAAATGATGGATGTTTGAGGAAACAAGACTGCTTATTTTCCACTAATGAAACTAGTTGAGGCAAATCATTTTTATTTATTTTGATTCTCTTTTACACTCACATGAAAACATTGTAATGTGGAATAAGAACCACAGGAGAGAGCTGCTGTATAGTAATTGAACCCACATACTATCTTCACGATGAGTTAGCCATTTGCCACACTGCTACATTTGAGCATCTTTCATTAACCTGAACCTCAACCAGAATACATACAATATTTTCAGTTCAAACCAGCCAAATATATTCTACTGAGCCACATACAACACCTGATGCCCATATAATAAATAGCATGACATTTAAAAAAAACATTTTAGTCAGTTAGCAGACGCTCTTATCCAGAGTGACTTGCAGGAGCAATTAGGGTTAAATGCCTTGCTCAAGGGCACAGACAGATTTTTCACCTAGTCGGCCCAGGGATTCGACCCAGCGACCATTCAGTTACTGACCCAACACTGTTAATCGCTAGGCTACCTGCCGCCCTATATTGATGGTCTTATCATTTCCTACAAAACCGTGACACACAAGTCATATTCTGTTTATCAGAGTAAGACTTTCCCATTCTTTACACTTGCACGTCCAATCCCGACAAAGCTGAGAGCGATCAAGAAACAATGTTTCCACCAACGTATCTAATACCTAGTATGAAAATGTATGCACTCACTAACTGTAAGTCGCTCTGGTAAGAGCGTCTGCTAAATGACTAAAATGTAAATGTAAATGTAATACAGAAAAATATCTTTCCCCCCTTCACTGAGATTAAGTAGAGACGTTTTCACTGTTTTTATTTGCTGTCTGTTTCCAGTTTCCCCACTTTGACTGGGCGTTTCACAGAATAGATAGAAAATAGCTCTCTCTTTGCTGACGTGACAACACATTTTCCAGGTTGAGGCTTTCGTTTGTCTCTAACCATTAGGCAATTATATTTTCCCCATGCTGTGGGCCTCAAACCTTTGAGTTCTCAAACAATAACGGACAAATGTTAGTTAGACGGCTACAGACATAACTTTATATTTAGTGTAAAAACGAGAACATGGCAACCATTGATCAAGCGCTCACCCGTGGAATATTGGTAACAGACTGGTTCCATGGTATAATAATGAAATATTTGGTGCAGTTTAAGACAAGGATGTTCAACTAACTTCAAGATATAGTCAAACAGTAGCACAGTTTGTCTCTGGGGTAAAAGCCACAGAGACGTGAGTGCGATTACTCATCACAATTCTCCTAAATGTGCACAAGTAACTCCAAGAGACATGGAGCTCACTTTCACATTGACTCATTCATGCACAAAACTCTGACTAAAACACATGCCAAACTGGATTGACTGTTAGTGCAACTGATAAATAGCTGAAAGAAACACTATTCTCTTATCCAGTGGATGTTTTCTTAAGTTACATCTATAGTGTTCTTTTTTTGACGAAAGAGTGATGCTGACGAGTGTGTGGCCCCTACTCGCTACAATCATCTTATGTTAACACTGTAAATGTACTCCACCTACTAAGATAAAACAAACATTTTTAATTAGGTAGACTGTCCATTAAAGTAACTGTCCAGTGTTTCTAGATTTCTATGAAATATTACCTATAATTAATTGTAATGAGTGAAATAGTTTTCCTTCCCCCCATTTTTTAAATTATGTATGCTAAAAGCAGCTTTTCTGTGTTGGAATGGTATGGGTGTACCCCAACAACAGAATGGTGTATACATGTCATTACAAATATTCATGCGAGTAGATCGCTGATTGGCCAGCTCATCCGACATCATGTTCTATGAGGAAATGGCAAGCATTTAAACGGTCTGTTTGAGATACAAGTTTGACGTGTTTTTTTTTTAGTGTTTTTTCTCTAATTCAAGCTTTGGCCACAAATTCGAGTATAGGACGAGTCAACAACATTATTTGGGTATGAGTTAATAGAATATGAACTTTTAAAATAAAATGTTCACCAGACGGTTACTTTAATACCGTCAGTTAGTTTATTTGGTTTAGTTTCAAGTAATTCACATATTGGAAAAATCAATTGTCCCTACCCATGCTAGTAATTTAGCTGAAGTTATTTGTAGTTCAACAAATTAATTTCGCGTGAAAATAAGTAATACTGTGCACCTTTCCACTGTTTCCACATCATGTTATAATGACTAAAGGATTAGTAAACATATCAATACAAATTAGACTACATTAAACTAAGTATTTACTAATTATTGGTGATATAAACAATTAACTATACACATAATGTATGCAACTATATTACAAATGTAATTGTACTGTTTATTGCTTTATACTATTGATGATTGTCATTTTTACCATAATGTATCAGATCATTATTTTATGACCTCACAAGACCACATTTGCCTGCTCTAGTACTAGCGTGCTACATTATGCGATATACAGTAGGTGGGAGAGCAAGGCTAATAGCAACCACAATAACAGAGGTCATTCCTTGTTTGTGAGATTTCTGACAATGATCCTTTTGTTTGTAAAGTAAACAAAGTATAGTAGATTTTCTTTTGAAAAATCACTTACTTCTATATCCAGTGAAGGAGTGTTCAACATCACGCCGTTGTGCTGCAAGAACAACAAAAAACAGAGGTGTTGGTACTGAGGTTGCATTTTATAGGCAGGGATGTAGCTCAGTTGGTAGAGCATGGCGTTTGCAACGCCAGGGTTGTGGGTTCCATTCCCACGGGGGGCCAGTATGAAAAAATTAATTAAAATAATAATGTAAGTCGCTCTGGATAAGAGCGTCTGCTAAATGACTAAAATGTAAAATGTTATACAAATCAGCCCCCAAAAATTAGAGGGGTGAGAAAATATGGAACCATTTACAGCCTTTATAAATGTAAAAAGGCAATAGACGTATTGCATCACAATGTTAGTATAATGCATAATGAAACATGCTATAATCATTAGTAAAAGCTCATGGTTTCTTGGAAGAACCCATGAAATACATAAGTGCTTACAATGCATAAGCTTTGAAAAAGTGTTCAATAAATTGCAGATTGACCTACCTCCACACTTTTCTTTAGCGCTCCTACATCCTTTATTACTTCAGTCAGCTTCAGTGATCTCTCAACCTTGTCTGCATTCGCCAAAACACAACAGGTGACGGCTAGAAGACAACAAACAAGCAGCTTCATCTTTTCTTAACCTGCTTTAACGATGGCACAAATTACCCAAAGGAGGCTGTTCAAAACATTTACTGGTAATGTGGACAGGTGTCTAACTTACCTATATATTTATCCATCAGGACACAGGAAAACCACGTTTGAGAGATTGGAAAACTGCTGAAAGTATGAATGAATGAGTAATGACTTTTTCTTTTCCACTGGCCACTACGTGAGCTCAGAGTTGTGCATGCGTGGGGCGTAGGGATGCAAGTGCGTGAACGAAAACATACTTTCTGCACACAAGGCAGGAAACTACAGAGCACCGTTAGTTCCCATTTTCACTTTGAATCAGAGGACCTATAGCTAGCTATACAGTATGTGTCATTGGTGACAACCTGAATGTACACAGTGTACAAAACATTATGAACACCTGCACTTTCCATGACTGACCAGGTGAATCCAGGTGAAAGCTATTATCCCTTATTGATGTCACTTGTTAAATCCACTTCAATCAGTGTAGATGAAGGGGAGGAGACAGGTTAAATAATAATTTTAAGATTTGAGACAATTGAGACATGGATTGTGTATGTGTGCCATTCAGAGGGTGAGTGGGCAAGACAAAATATTTAAGTGTCTTTGAAAGGGGTATGGTAGTAGGTTGCAACTCAATATTAGGTGTCCTTAATGTTTTGTACACTCAGTGTATCTACAGACACACCAAAGAGATATTTGTGTGTGTGTGTGGTTGGCCGCCTACATGAACATAACCTGTAAGAACAACAGGAAATTATTTGAAGGACTACAGCAATGACAGTACAAAGGCCAAGGGCATTCTGCAATATTTCCCCCTTCTGGGAGGATATCCTTTTGTACCAAAACAGAAAGGAACCCTTGAAACCAAATTCTGGTGGCTCCCACCTGAAACCTATACCAAGACTGAGGCCTGCTGTTTATTATTCCTGAAACCTCAATAAAATTAAACGTATATAAACTCAGTTTCTGTCCTTATAGTATTGCTCATTTTGGGAAATGTATAGTATTGGTAATTGTGGGGAAATTCCGCATCAGTCTCAAACAAACAATTGAATAGGTACCAGTCAAAACTGGAGACAGAGCTTTGCAGGAGACCGTTGATTTCAAATAAAGACAAGAGCTAGTGGGTGATGTTACCAGCGTGTGTAGGTCCCTGGCTGAAGTTCAGCAGCACAGTATTTTTGCTATGTATTGTCATGTGTTATGATTGCATCTTTAGGTTGCTGTGGGGGCAGATGAATCATAGACTCACTAGTCAATGAAGATGAATAGCAAGTAATGAAAGTAGTCTTAAAACATCTGCGGTGGCTGAGTGTATGTCAAAACTCTAATTATAATGTATCTATCTCTGGCACTATCTCTGGCACTCTTTCCATGACATAGATTGACCAGGTGAATCCAGGTGAAAGCTATGATCCCTTATTGATGTCACTTGTTAAATCCACTTTAATCAGTGTAGATGAAGGCGAGGAGACAGGTTAAATAATAATTTTTAAGATTTGAGACGATTGAGACATGGATTGTGTATGTGTGCCATTTAGAGGGTGAATGGGCAAGACAAAATATTTAAGTGCCTTTGAACGGGGTATGGTAGTAGGTGCCAGGCGCACCGGTTTGGGTGTGTCAAGAACTGCAACGCTGCTGGGTTTTTCACGCTCAACAGTTTCCGGTGTGTATCAAGAATGGTCCACCACCCAAAGGACATCCAGCCAACTTGACACAACTGTGGGAAGCATTGGAGTCAACATGGGCCAGCATCCCTGTGGAACACTTTGTAGAGTCCATGCCCCGACGAATTGAGGCTGTTCTGAGGGCAAAAGGGGGTGCAACTTAATATAAGGAAGGTGTTCCTAATGTTTTGTACGTGAAAAAATATAAAAAATATTGTCTGGTCACAAATCATAACTTTTCAATTTACCCAATGTTGTTATTCATTTGATAATCAAAATGGGGGAAAAAAGCAGTGTTTTTTTACTGGGGAAATGTTATTTTAATTAACACTGTTTGCCATTATCTTAGTGTTACCTTTAACACTTCATGTGTTATTTTTAACCTCTGTGTCATCTTTTTTAATTATTTTATTCCAAACAGTGTCATAATAATTCCCTGTTGGGGGAAAATAATAATCCCCATGATTTCAATTGAGATAACCTCTCGTGTTAATCAGACAGGAAGCAGTGGTGTCCAAGTGTGCTTAACCCGGTTTCTGCAGCGTCAGCGTTCTTAGTTTACCTCACAGAGCGGAAGCTGTACTACTGGCTTTATCTTGAGAGGAGGAAGTGAGCTTGTGATAGATTTGAGATAACCCCTCCTTCTCTGTCGCCCTGGTCTTTGTTTCAGCATAAAGGAAAAAGTGGGTGGGGATTGGGCCTACGAGCTGTGAAGCAACGAACACTAATACTACACATATTGTCAACGTATAGGGGAAAGGCCCTCACGAAGCCCCCCTTAAAATCCTGCGGGAAGGTGCATCTCTGTGGAACTGGCTATTCCATTACTAAAGGAGTCCCTTTAGTTGTCTGAGAGTTGGTTGTGACACATGGAAGGGATTTGTGTCCTCAGGTAGATGTGAGATGAATCAGAACTTTCCTTGTCCAGTCATATATCAATACCACCTGGTTTGATAGTGTGGCATATGCCTGTGTGAGCCATTTGGCATTGAGTAAAGGTTGTTGACGGGGAGAACCCTGTCACTGTGAAGTGAGAAAGTGAGAGTTGTTTTCTGTGGTGTTAAACGCAGTGCAAGACGTGGCTAAATTACAGCTGTACAGATAATGTTCATTAACTGTGATAAAGAACTAGATAATGATCTACTTTAATTTTGTAACATTATATTTTGTGATAGTTCACGTTCAATAAACAATCAAAATTAGGGGGCTAGTGTACAGTGCATTCGGAAAGTATTCAGACTCCTTGACTTTTTACAGCCTTATTCTAAAATGGATTAAATAAAACATTTTCTTCATTAATCTACACACAATACCCCATAATGACAAAGCGAAAAACAGGTTTTTAGACATAAAAAAACAGAAATACAGTTGGTCGGAAGTTTACATACACTTAGGTTGGAGTCATTCAAACTCATTTTTCAACCACTCAACAAATTTCTTGTTAACAAACTATAGTTTTGTGCATGACACAAGTCATTTTTCCAACAATAGTTTACAGACAGATTATTTCACTTATTTCACTATTTCATTATTTCACATGACTCCGAAGCGTACTTATAGTAACCAGAACTGATTTATTTCATGTTCACCTTAACACATTCCAATCAACTACTCTCTACAGTGTCTTCAGCCCAACTCTCCTTTACATCATTGAACTTTTACCACCCTTGCATCTCATTTTAAATCTAAACTCATTAACACATAATACATTTCTCAATACACCACACAGTGGGTCAGAAGTTTACATACACTAAGTTGACTGTGCCTTTAAACGATAGTTACCGGAGTGTAACTCCAATTCTATGAGTGGAGTGGAGCCCCATAGGGGAGCTCTGCTCCTATTGGTTTACCCTGCTGCCTAGGCAGCGAATAGCCTGAGACAAAATTATGCACACACCTGCAGCCAATAGGAGTACAGGTGTCCCTATATAAGGGGACGCTTCCCCTCAATCAGCATCCCAAATATTATCTTCAGTGAGACTAGAGAGGGTCGGCAGGGCCTTAAATCCTATGGGGCTCCGCTCCACTCATAGAACTGGAGTTACACTCCGGTAACTATCGTTCTATATCGTGGAGCTCCGCCCCATAGGGGAGCTCTGCTCCTATTGGTTTAAGGCGGAGCGCAACGCTCCAAAATGTACTCCCTGCCGAGCCCAGACTTTCCCATCGAAATGAAAAGGTCGGGCCTAGCAATGGCTGCGACCAAGTCCCGCAGTACTGTAACACACTGTGTCACAATATACTGCGTCATCGGTCCAAATCCGCCCCACCTAGTCCAATGGCAACACCAATGTCTAGTGGGCAGATCACCACAATACGGGCCATACTAATCTGTCCTAGCAGATAGATGGTACCTCAATATCCTGTTACAACAATACCGACCACTAATGGAATGACACAAAATGTCACTCTACATTGTGTACACGGTAGCCCGCCCCACTCAATCAATGGAACCCCAATGATTAGTGGGCAGATCCCAGAACATGATTCATACTAATCTGAACAAGCAGATAGATGACGTCACATTCCGTAAAAATTGTCATGACCGGTCTAATAGTACCGTAAGCAAGGTTACTACTATTATCCCTCATCATTCCGCCTCAACCCAGTTATTCACTGGTGGACAGATCAATACATGCATTCTACTGTACTGAACATGTCAGTCAGGAGTCATGCTAGAATATGCCCTTCTATCAGAAGCGGACCTGAAAGAGACCTGTTTTTTCGGTCCTGCATTCCTCTCTCTTAGCTCAAGTCCTTCCCTCAGCCAGGCTTAGTACAGACTGAGCCAAAGAGTTAGAAGACATTTCCAAGAGATAGAAACGGATAAATGGAGACGGTGACGACCACGACGCCGCTGCACAGATATCCTCTACCCCTGTTCCTCTGAAAAGGGCAGTAGAAGCCGCTACTCCACAAGTGGAGTGGGCTCTTATAGCCTGAGGCAATTGTCGCCCCGCTGCCTCATAAGCTGTCTCAATGCCTTCGCAAAGCCAATGAGACAGACGCTGTTTCGAAAGTGGTCTACCTAGTGCAGCCGCACCATGACACACCAACAGCTGAGGCGATGACCTAATCGCTGCTGTGCGCTCAACGTAACACGCCAAAGCGCACACTGGGCACAGGCGATGGAGCCTTTCCTCTCTCCTCTCACCATGGGGAGGGGGAGAAAAAGCCCACAGCTCCACGGTCTGTGATCTATATGAGCTCTTAATAACCTTCAGCATAAATGCCGGGTTAGGACGCAACACCGCTCTGCTCAAATCGCCATTAATAGCAAGGCAGTCGGGTCTCGTCGAAAGAGCACACAAATCACTGACACGCTTA